ACCCGAACCTGTGAGTGGGGGTGGGGGCACTGGGGCCACGGGGGGCAGGGACCAGCCAGCCTTGGAGGCGGCTGGGCTCTCAGCTGGCCAGATACCCTGCTCTGACTGTTCTGTGGCACAGCCACTCAAAGGTGGGCTCTGAGGGAGGGTCCCAGGAGACTGGGTTCAAAGGACCGGCTTATTCATCACAGCTGGATCATTGGGGCAGCGGTGGTCAATGCATTCTACTCCCCAAACAGAAACCAGATTGGTATGTCCCCCACCTCTGACCCCACCACTCCCGTGTCAGTGCAGCCCCACCCCCTTCCTCCTGGGCCCCTCTCAGACTATGAGAGAAAGTGGGTACCTGTCTCTTCCACCTGGAGGGAGCATCCCCCATACCCCCCACCTGCAGGATAGCTCCCTTGTCCACGTCCTCAGGGTGGGGGCAACAGAGTCCCTCTCCCTGAGTGGTAGGAAGAACATGGACCCAAGTCCTGGATCTGCCTCCTTTGCCTCTGAGCCTCAGTTTTCCCAGCCATAAAATGGGGAGGGGGTCATCATCTCTACCTATCAGCACTGCCATATTAAATGACAGACCCCCAGAAGTGCCCGCCCCTGCGCCTAGCACATGGGGTGCCAGATCACAGCTGATTCTTTGTCCTCCTTGGGGCAGTGTTCCCTGCTGGGATCCTCCAGCCCCCCTTCTTCAGCAAGGAGCAGCCGCAGGCCTTGAACTTCGGGGGCATCGGCATGGTGATTGGGCACGAAATCACCCACGGCTTTGACAACAATGGTAAGGGAGGCTACAGGGGGACCAGGGACAGAGCTGCACCCCTGCGTCTCACACATACAACAGAAGCGGCCTTGGGGACCGTCTGTTCAACCCTTGGTGGTCTAGATGGGGACACTGAGGTCCAGGGCACAAAAGGGACTTGCCAGGTGCCTGGGGTCTGTGTGGCAGAGCAGGTTTCAGACACCTCCCAGCAGTGGGAGGGAGAAGTAGACACAAGGGGTCAAGCCCTGTACACACCCTGTGATCAGACTCCATCCAATTAACTGGTCCCTTCCCGCTCTGGAGCCTGTGACATGGAGACAGGAACACTGACCGCTACGCCTGTGGTGCTCCCAACCCCTAGCCTGGCATGGAGCCTGGCTTGCTGTCATTTCCAAGACAGCCAGCACCTCTCAGCCAAGGCACATGCTAGGCCAAACATCCCAGCTGGCTTTTAGTGGCGGCGCCCGCTAGTGCAGGCTCGTCTGCAGCACAGGGACGCGGGTTTTCCCACATGGCTCAGCAGTCAGGCCTCTTCAAAGGGCAGCCTTCATCCCCAAGGACCACAGGCTCCCCTTGCCCGAGGCTTTGAGTGTTTGGACATCACAGGAAGGGTGCACAAAGCACAGTGCCTCCCTGAGACCCCAGGTCCTAACCTCAGAGAGTGGCATGGATGGCGACAGTAGCCCTCCCTCTCGGGGAACAGACCAGCCCCAGGACAACCTGCTATTCCCTCCTGGGGTTTGTTCTCTGAACAGAGCTCTAGATCCTGGGATTGGCTGGGAGGAGGTACCGGGAGAGGCCGGCTTCCGCCCTCATCCACCGGAGCGGGCTGGGCTCGAGGCATGGGCAGGGAGCACATGGCAGCCACTTCTACCCCCGCCAGGCCGGAATTTCGACAAAGACGGCAACATGCTGGATTGGTGGAGCAACTTCTCAGCCCAGCACTTCCAAGACCAATCAGAGTGCATGGTCTACCAGTACAGCAACTACAGCTGGGACCTGGCGGACAAGCAGAACGTGAGTGTGCCACCGGCACCACCCAGGGGTCCGCTCCCCAGCCCTGGTCACCTCGGGCGAACACACTACAGTCCTAGCTGCATGGGAGAAAGGGAGCAGGACCCCAGCTGCCCCCTTACCTACCTCCTGTGCACAGGTGAACGGGTTCAGCACACTCGGGGAGAACATCGCCGACAACGGAGGAGTGCGGCAGGCATATAAGGTGGGTTGAGGTGGGTGTCCCCTCAAGGAGAGGATAGGGGAGCAGCCAGCCTGTCTGGATGAGCAGCCCTTAGCTTGGCAGAAACTATGCCTGGCCAAGCCAAGGTGTGTTCTGGGAATTTCCTCCATCTATGCCCTGGGGAAGTACCACATGCTGGTGGGCAGGCAGGATGAGGGCATCTCTGCCCGAATCTCACCCATCCCTCACTGAGGCCTCAGTAAGATAGACTGTGACAGTCCCCTCAGCAACACCCCTGCATCTACACCTCAGTGACAGGCCACCTCCCAGGGCCTGGGAGCTCAGTCTGGGGGAGCCATCGTGGTGGGCTGCCGCCAAGGGGGCCTACATGGGCCAACCAGTGCAGCCCTCCGATGGTCACGAGTACTTTAAGGTGGTGACTGCCAGTCCCCAGAGTCCCAGACGGGCACTGAGCAGCAGAGGCAGGACACACCTGGGAGGGCAGTAGAGGGGTCAGTGGGTCTGGCTGGGGGCAGGGCAGCCCGGGCCCTCTGAGAGCCATGCCCAGCGCCCGCCCGGTGCCTGCAGGCTTACCTGAAGTGGCTGATGGAAGGTGGCAGGGACCCTCAGCTGCCGGGCCTGGAAATGACCCACCACCAGCTTTTCTTCATCAACTATGCCCAGGTAGGCACCCCACCTGCCCTCCTGTCCTGGAGGTGCTCAATTCCACCAGCAGCCCCTACACTGGCTGGCAACTGCTCCCATTCCCACAGCTTTGGGTGCACCCATTGTGGGGCACCACTGGGTGCTGCAGGCAGGCTGGCAGGGCAGGGCCAGACCAGTGGGTCAACCCGGAATGCTTTCTGGAGGACAGGGGTGGGGTTTGGAGCTGGGGAGGAGTCAGATGTTGATGTGGAAGGAGGGAGGAACCCGCCGCTTCGCTCTCCCCACCCCAGCCGACTGGCAGGAACTCATTTGTGCTTAGAGAGAAATCAGGGACAGCTCTGCCGCTCTCCCAGCACCCCCTAAGGCCCGTCCCTACCACTCCCGGGCCACGCCCTCTGCCCCGCAGCCACGCCTCTCGTGCCCCCACAGGTGTGGTGCGGGTCCTATCGGCCGGAGTTCGCCGTGCAGTCCATCAAGACAGACGTCCACAGTCCTCTGAAATACAGGCAAGCGCCTACGCCCCAGCCCAGCCCCGGCCCCACGATCCCCCCGTGGCACCCAGCCCGGCGCCCGTCTCAGGCCGCCCGTATGCCCGCAGGGTGCTGGGCTCGCTGCAGAATCTGGCCGCATTCGCGGACGCGTTCCACTGCGCGCGAGGCACCCCGATGCACCCGAAGGAGCGATGCCGCATCTGGTAGCCAAGGCCGAGCCGCCGTGCGCGGCCCACGCCCACCTGCCGCCGGGAGGTCCGCGGAGGAGACGGGAGCCGGCGGGGACCCAGAGGGGACCCGAACGCCGGGGCTGGGCAGCCGGCCTTCTGTGCGCGGCCTGCACGCGGACCGAGCGCAGCGCCGCCCCAACACCTGCATACGCCGGGTGTGCGGCGACTGGTATCCGATGCCCGGCCGGCGCCCCCGCCCCGCGCCCACCGCGGGCCACGCCGCTCAGCGCTCAGCGCAGACTGTGAATCTCCTTCGCCTACTCGCCAAGGCGCGTCGTTTCCAGAGCTTCGAACGTGAGCAGAGTAAACGCTTCAAAGAAGCTGGCCCGGCCTATTTTTTTCTAGGAGGTACTGGGAAAGCTGGGTGGACGCTCAGGCTGACGGTGCCTGCCAGGGCAAGAGCCCAGCTCAATCCCAAGACGCACTTCTCCTGGTTCTGCCACTGACCACAGCCGGCGCATGGGCAGAGCAACGGGGAGCCCACTGGTGAGGGAGGGGTTCCTGGCCAGGGCCAGGGGACATTGCAATGAACAGGGTCCCCCAGATGCCCATGCTTATGGACCATGTGTCCAGATTTTGGGAGGGGAGTGACATAGGAAGGAGGTGAGGTTGGGAGGGGGCAGGGGGTCCTCAGGTCCCTGGGCAGCAGTCGGAGTCTGGATTTCTGGTTTTGTGTAACTGTGCCCCCACAGGGGCTTAAACCACAGAAGGACAGGGTCAGGTGGTCTGCAGTGGTTTGTAAATGACCATAGGGAGGGGAAATGGCCAGAGCAGTTGGGGTGGATGCAGGGAGCCAGTGAGGAAGTGGCTGCAGTCATCCTGGCTCAGACAAGTGTGTTGAGGAGAGGATGAATGGTCACCGGAGCTCCTCCTTCAAGAGCTGATGAGAGGCCAGGATGTGTCCTGAGGTGGGGGGAGGCCTGAATGGCACCGGAAGGGGGTCTGCTGGGAGCCTGGTAGGTCTGAGATGGCTGTTAGAGCCCCAAGGGGAGGTATCTAGGAGGCTGGGGACACCCAGTAGGACCAGGCCCTCTCCCCTGCCTGCCCCCCACACACACACTCTGCAAGTGCTTCCCATGATTCTCACATCAGGGAAGATCCTTCTGGCTGACCAGCCCTTTCCTCAAAGTCTCTGATTGTCCACGGAGCCCAAGAGGTGGAGTCAAAACCATTTCCTCCCTGAAAACCATGAGCACTGGCCCCCACGGGGCTCCCACCAGGCAGGAGCACTGACCCTCTGACCCCTCAAGGCTGGCTACAGTCCGGAGTCCAGGGAGTTTCCTGACTCCTGAGCCTCCTTATCAAATGGGCCCAATCTCACCCTTGTTTCCCCAATCCTCAGAGCCCTGGGCCTCCCCCCAGCATCCTGAGGTCACAAGGCAGGGCTGGGGCATGGTCACCTGGGGAGGAAATGACAGAGCCGTGAGATCACAGTCCCCATGGGCCCCAGGTCCCAAACGCCTTAAGTCTCCAGAGAGAGTGCAGGGGTGCATCCCTCCAAGGGTCAGCAACTTCCACATCAGGGAGGTGACACCTCAGGACCCTGATGACCCCAGCTGACCTAGAGGAAACTGCTGGGCAGGGAGGTGGGAACTGAGAGGACAGAAGGACACAGGGACACAAGGGGTGCCAGGATGCAAGGTTTGGAGTCAGTGAAGAAGCACTCGACCCAGAGACCGCAGCTTTAATGGCTCTTGTTACTGTGGACTAGGCAAAGTCCAGCGTTCCAGCTCAGTGATTCCAGAATGATTCTTCATATCCAACTCCCAGCATTCCTAAGTCCTCGGAGGCCCAGGGCCTTCACCTCCCACACACGTCCTCAACACACTGTGGGGGCAACATGGGCCTGTCAGGCTGGCCACATTCTCGGGGCCAAGAACAGCTGACCCCCGCCCCCTGGGGCCAAGTGGAAGACACAGCCTGCTGGAAGCAGGAGTCACTCCCCTCCACTCGGGGCACAGGAACACACTAATGCCCACTGGGGCCACCTCGGACACACCTCAGCACTCCCAATTGAAGAGGACAGGCCTCCCTCTGCAGCCCACCGCCCTCTGAGGAGCGGCCCTCCATGCCTGCCCACCCCCCTCCCCCAATTCTTCATCCCCTCACTCCTCTCACCTGCTTCCCTTCTGCAGGGGAAGGTAACAGTGACAACATCTATGCCAGGGGCTACTGGGAACCCAGAATGAGACAAAGTGCCTGCGAGGCCCCAGCCTAGCACCTGGCCCCTGGGCCCAGCTCAAGGGGACAGGGTTGGGGGATTTCCAGCCAGTGCCACTCCCAAGACCCAGCTCACCTGGGGAGGCTCACTAGCATGGCAGCCCTCCGCAGAGATGCCCAAGGCCCCCAGGACGGTCTCTTGGGGAACATAGTCCCCTGGGGACTTCTGGACAAAGTGCAGCAGCACCTTCTCACCACCTGGGGGCAGTAGGGAGGCAGTCAAGGTTTCTGGAGGGCCTCATCTGGCCAGGTGTGCAAAGGGAGAACAGGGAGCGTGGTCCAGCCTGCTTGGCGACAGCCCTCAGGTACCAACCTCAGCCATGGGTGCAACTTCCTGCCCCAGTGGCCCAGCCCACAGCGCCCCCGCCCTGTTACTGAGACCCCTGAGTTCTGGCCACCGCCCCCACCAATCTAAGCCAACACACAAAACGAGGGCCACACAAAGAAATGGAGCCAAGATAAGACCAAGAAATCAGAGAAGAGAAGGTCAGGGTCCAGTCTCCAAGTTCAGCTGAGTGGCTGGCTCTGCACATTGCAGTGCCCCAGGCCCTGTCCCCTCTCCTTCTCCCACTCACCTTTGCTGACCACCAGCAGCCCTCCACTCTGCAGCAGGTCCCCAGACAGGTTCCCCTGGATGCCAACAGCCTTGGCCTGAGAGGGAGGGAGCAGGGTTCATGTCAGCCCCAGGAGGAGGCCCCTGGGGGCTATGCCACCCCAAGCCCCTCACAACCTTGGCTGTCACTGACCTTGGCAGCCACATCCCGCACTGGCTTCCCCAGAGCAGCGGGGAGGATGCTCAAACTGTTGTACCTACAAAGACAGCAGCTCGCTCATCCAGGCTCTTCCGGGAAGACCAAACCCCAGTGCTGGCTCCACCCCACAAGATGCAAGATGGGTCCCACCATCAAGCTCACCCCTCCCACCCTCCTCCCCAGGGACTCAGAGAGGCTTGGGCCCCACGGCAGCAACCAGATCAGCCCTCAGAAGAGCTTCCCGTTGGGCCCAGAGCAGACACCCGAGCCCTGAGAACCAGCCTGCAGAGGGGGCTGGGTTCTGGACCAAGTGCACTGGGATCTGGCTCAGCTGCCACTGCCTATGAGGGAAAGCAGCCTGGCCCAGGGGCTGCCACTGGTCCCCGCAGGCATGGAAGTGGGATGGCCCATGCCTGGGCATGCAGACTCCAAGACCCCTGGGCACCACAGCCTGGAAGGTGTAGGTCCTAGGTGGGAAGGCTACCCCACAGCCCCTACAAAAACAGACACCCCACCCTCAAGAGAGAACCTGGCTTCTAGAAGGACTAGCCACAGCAGACAGTGCCACCAGACCCGGCTTGCTCACAGAGGCCTGAGTGGACACCCAAGCAGAGGGGGACAGGGAGAAAAGGAATGAGGCCTCTCCACCAGCTCAGGGAAGACTCTGCCCCTTCACCCCACAGGCACACACACACGCACACACACTCACCGCTTGAAGCCCAGCTCCTTGTAGAACTGCTTGCTCTCATCCAGGTAGAGCTCTGCAAAGCAGAAGCCACAGGTGTGGGCCCCAGGCCTGCCCTGGCCCCACCCACCACCCAGGCTCACCATCCTCCACCTGCCCTCTGTCCACCCTTGATGCTCACCTAGGCCACTGAGAAGGGCTCGGAGGGCAGAGCAGGGATGAGGGTTCCCTTGTTCAGAGGAGGGGCTGGGGCCCAGAGGTGACAGGTGGAAAAGGAGGGGCAGGACTCACCCCGACTCTGCCACCGGGCAGGGGGCTCCTTGAGGAGGAGGGGAATGGGAGGAGGCCGGGGCAGTCACGCTGGGTGTCCCTGCTACTCTCACTCAAGGTTGGAGGCATTTGAGGGTGTTCAGGGCCTGGGGCCTCATCTACAAAGAGCCCAGGTTGGGGGAAGGGGTTCCAGCTCCAACTCTCTCTCCAGGGAAGGGGACCAGATGGTCTCTAGAAGCCTCGCAGGTGACCCAGTTATCCAAGGTAAAGACTCGGGTCCTGGTTCTGGGCCAGTGTCACCATAGGCCCTGCCACTGCCCATCCATCCTCAGTGGGAAACACCTTCACAATCGGGGTTGGGAGATGTGGGGTGGGGGTGAGATGAGGGCAGCTCACATATGAGCAGGTCAAGGCCACTGCCTCCTGGTGCTGAGAAAGGGCAGGGCTGAGCAGAGGGGCAGCCGAAGGCCGAGTGTGGGGAAAGGTCTAGGAGCCACATCCCACCCACCCCCACCCCACCCCGCGACAGTGCAGCAAGGTCCTGGGGGCGGTTACAGATGGAGACCGAGGCCCAGGAACCAGTGTCCAGGACTCTCTCCCTGGGAGAAGACTCTCAGGGCAGCTGAGGGGAGGCTGCAGGGAGTGGAGGGGGGAGGGAGGACCCACCTCCCGCGAAGTAGCCGCCGTCCAGGAATTCCTGCAGGCCCAGGACCTCCGGCCCCACTCCCACCAGGCGCACGCCGTGCTGGTCTAGGAGCCCCTTGAGGCTGCTGAGGTCCCGGGCGATCCAGCGGCACACCATGCAGCCGAAGCGCCGCAGCCCGGCCACCACGCACGCCTGCTCCTGCCACAGGCTCCGCAGCTCCACGGCCTGCGGCGGCGGCCAGTGAGACAGGGACGCCCAAGAGGCCACCGCCCGCCCGCTCACCACAGCCCGTGCTCCGCGCGCCTGGGCCTCCCAGCCTGCACCGCCAGGGCCTCCGACGCCACCACGATCCCTCCCGACCCTGCCACCCCACAGTCTGGGACGCCAGGGCCGGGAGAGCCCCCTCCGCCCTCCTCACCTCTCCCGTCACGGCGTTCTTCAGCACACACGCGCCCACCCGGGCCAGGTCCAGGGCGCTCATGGCGGCCGCCTCCTGCCCTGCCCCCAGCTGCGCCACCTCTCCAGTCGGCTCGCGTCTGCGCGTTCCAGGTCTTCCAGAAAACCGCCTGGTCCCGCGCGTCCCCCTGCTGGTTCCCCGTTAATCTCCCAGCTCCGCCCCGGCCCTCGGCTCTCCCCACCAGCCCCGTCTCCTCTCCCTGGCCGCGCCGCCTCTCCGTCACCTCTCCTGGCTCCGCCTCCCGACCCGCCGCAGAGCCCGCCCAGACCTCGCCTCCTCGCTGATTCCGCCCCCAGGCCTAGGTTCTAAGCCCCGGGCCCTGCCTGAGTACTCGCCACCACCTCGGGACCAACCCTGCCCTTGGCTCGCCCCGACCCGGGTTCCTCCCCCCCACCCCCAATCCTCGACCCCGGCTCACCCTCCCGGTCCCGATCTTGCCCCGGGCTGGCCCCTGGCCCGGCCCCACCTCACCGCTCCCGCCCCACCCAACACAGGACCCGCCTTCAGCCCATCTCTCCGGGTCCCGGCCCCGCCCCCCGACTCCCAGTCTTGCCACGGGTTCCCAGTCCAAAGAAGCTTCCTGGACTGAGTAGGGTCGCTTTGTTTGCATATGCATGAGACAGCAGCCAATGCCCCCATGCGTCTGTCAGTTTGTCCTGTGGGAGCTTACGTGTTACTGTGATGCTGAAAGTTATTCCCCCAGCATTCAAATACTAGCAAGGCCACCAATGGCAAACAGGCTTCAGCTGACAGACTGGGAAGAAGGACCTGGCAGTCTACTTCTGATAAGAATTAGCCAGTGAAAACCTTTTGAACAGCAACAGAACATTGTCTGGTATAGTGCCAGAAGATGAGCCCTTCAGGTTGGAAGGCAGTCAAAAGAAGACTGGGGAAGAGCTGCCTCCTCAAAGTAATTGTTGTTAGGTGCCATTGAGTCTGTTCCGACTCATAGCGAGCCTATGTACAACAGAAAGAAACATTGCCTAGTCCTGTGCCATCCTCACAATTGTTATGGTTGAGCCCACTGTTGCAGTCACTGTGTCAATCCATCTTGTTGAGGGTCTGCCTCTTTTTCGCTGACCCTGTAGTTTACCAAGCATGATGTCCTTCTCCAGGGACTCATCCTCCTGACAACATGTCCAAAGTATGTAAGACATAGTCTCACCATCCTTGCTTCTAAAGAGCATTCTGCTTGTACTTCTTCCAAGACAGACCTGTTCGTTATTTTGGCGGTCCATGGTATGTATATTCAGTATTCTTTGCCCACACCAAAATTCAAAGGCATCAGTCTTCCTTATTCTTTGTCCAGCTTTTGCATACATACAATGCGATTGAAAATACCGTGGCTTGGGTCAGGTGCACCTTAGTCTTCGAGGTGACTTCTTTGCTTTTCAACACTTTAAAGAGGTCTTTTGCAGCAGATTTGCCCAGTGCAATGCATCTTTTAATTTCTTAACTGCTGCTTCCATGGGTGTTGATTGTGGATCCAAGTAAAATGAAATCATTGACAACTTCAGTATTTTCTCTGTTTATCATGATGTTGCTTATCGGTTGAGTTGTGAGGATTTTTGCTCTCTTTATGTTGAGGTGTAATCCATACTGAAGGCTATCGTCTTTGATCTTCATCAGTATGTGCTTCAAGTCCTCTTCACTTTCAGCAAGCAAGGCTCTGTCGTCTGCACAACACAGGTTGTTAATAAGTCTTCCTGCAATCCTGATGCTCCATTCTTCTTCATATAGTCCAGCTTCTCAGATTATTTGCTCAGCATACAGATTGAATAGGTGTGGTGAAAGGATACAACCCTGACGCACACCTTTCCTGACTTTAAACCATGAAGTATCCCCTTGTTCTGTCCAAACAACTGCCTCTTGATCTCTGTACAGGTTCCTCATGAGCACAATGAAGTGTTCTGGAATTCCCATTCTTCACAATGTTATCCATAACTTGTTATAATCCACACAGTCGTCGAATGCCTTTGCATAGTCTATAAAACTCAGATAAACATCTTTCTGGCATTCTCTGCTTTCAGCCAGGATCCATCTGACATCAGCAATGATATCCCTCGTTCTGCATCCTCTTCTGAATCCAGCCTGAATTTCTGGCAGTTCCCTGTTGACATACTGCTGCAGTCACTTTTGAATGATCTTCAGAAAAATTTTACTTGCGTGTGATATTAATGATATTGTTCAACAATTTCCTCATTTGGTTGGATCACTGTTCCTCGGAATAGGCATAAATATCTCTTCCACTTGGTTGGCCAGGTAGCTGTCTTCCAAATTTCTTGGCATAGACAAGTGAGCACTTCCAGCACTGCATCCGTTTGTTGAAACATCTCAATTGATATTCCGTCAGTTCTTGGAGCCTTGTCGTCAATGCCTTCAGTGCAGCTTGGACTTCTTCCTTCAGTACCATCGGTTCCTGATCATATGCTACCTCTTGAAATGGCTGAACGTTGACCAATTCTTTTTGGTATAATGACTCTGTGTTTTCCTTCCGTCTTCTTTCGATGCTTCCTGTGTCATTTAATATTTTCCCCATAGAATCCTTCGCTATTGCAACTCGAGGCTTGAAGTTTTTCTTCAGTTCTTTCAGCTTGAGAATGCCAAGCGTTTTCTTCCCTTTTTCTATCTCCAGGTCTTTGCACATGTCGTTATAATACTTTACTTTGTCTTCTCGAGCCTCCCTTTGAAATCTTGTGTTCATTTCATTTACTTAATCATTTTTTCCTTTTGCTTTAGCCACTCGACCTTCAAGAGCAAGTTTCAGAGTCTCTTCTGACATCCATTTTGGTCTTTTCTTTCTCTCCTGTCTTTTTAATGATCTCTTGCTTTCTTCATGTATGATGTCCTTGATGCCATTCCACAACTCATCTGGTCTTCAGTCATTAGTGTTCAAGGCATCAAATCTGTTCTTGAGACGGTCTCTAAATTCAGGTGGGATATACTCAAGGTCATACCTTGGCTCTTGTGGACTTGTTCTCATTTTCTTCAGTTTCGAATTGAACTTGCGTATGAGCAATTGATGGTCTGTTCCGCAGTTGGCCCCTGATCTTGTTCTGACCGATGATATTGAGCTTTTCCATCATCTCTTTCCACAGATGCAGTCGATTTGATTCCTGTGTATTTCATATGGCGAGGTCCATGTGTATAGTTGCCATTTATGTTAGTGAAAAAAGGTATTTGCAATGAAGAAGTCGTTGGTCCTGCAAAATTTTATCACGTGATCTCCAACATCGTTTCTATCGCCAAGGCCATGTTTTCCAACTACCGATCCTTCTTCTTTGTTTCCAACTTTCGCATTCCAATCACCAATAATTATCAATGCATCATGATTGCATGTTCAATCAATTTCAGACTGACTGCAGAAGCTGGTAAAAATCTTCAGTTTCTTCATCTTTGGCCTTAGTGATTTGTGCATAAATTTGAATAATAGTCATATTAACTGGCCTTCCTTGTCAGCATGTGGATATTATCCTGTCACTAATAGTGCTGTACTTCAGGATAGATCTTGAAATGTTCTTTTGGACGATGAATGCAACACCATTCCTCTTCAAGTTATCATTCCCTGCATAGTAGACTCTGTGATTGTCCGATTCAAAATGGCCAATACCAGCCTGTTTCAGCTCACTAATGCCTAGGATCTCGATGTTTATGCATTCCATTTCATTTTTTACTATTTCCAATTTTCCTAGATTCATACTTCATACATTCCATGTTCCAGTTATTAATGGATGTTTGCAGCTGTTTCTTCTCATTTTGAGTCATGCCACATCAGCAAATGAAGGTCCCGAAAGCTTGACCCCATCCATGTTATTAAGGTCGACTCTACTTTGAGGAGGCAGCTCTTTCCCAGTCGTCTTTTGAGTACCTTCCAACCTGAGGGGCTCATCTTCCAGCACTGTATCAGACAATGTTCCGCTGCTATTCATAAGTTTTTCACTGGCTAATTCTTTTCAGAAGTAGACTGCCAGGTCCTTCTTCCTAGTCTGTCTTAGTCTGGAAGCTCAGCTGAAACGTTTCCACCATGAGTGACCCTGCTGGTATCTGAATATTGGTGGAATAGCTTCCAGCATCACAGTACGACTAACTGACAGACACATGGGGGCCTCAAACTAGAGTCCACCTTAATGACGTGGATGGAGTCAAGCTTTCAGGACCTTCATTTGCTGATGTGGCACAACTCAAAATGAAAAGAATCAGCTGCAAACATCCATTAATAATCAAAACGTGGAATGCAGTTGCCAAGGATTTAATTTTACTTGGATCCACAATCAACACACATGGAAGCAGCAGTCAAGAAATCAAGCTACACATTGCATTGGGCAAATCTGCTGCAAAAGACTTCTTAAAAGTGTGAAAAAGCAAAGAAGTCACTTTGAGGACTAAGGTGTGCCTGACCCAAGCCGTGTTATTTTTAATCACCTCATCTGTGTGTGAAAACTGGACAATGAATGCATCAGGAAGACTGAAGAAGAACTGATGCCTTTGAATTGTGGTGTTGGCAAAGAATACTAAATATACCATGGGCTGCCAAAAGAACAAACAAATCTGTTTTGAAAGAAGTACAGCCAGAATGCTCCTTAGAAGCAAGGATGGCGAGACTATGTCTCACATACTTTGGACATGTTATCAGGAGAGATCAATTCCTCGAGAAGGACATTATGCTTGGTAGAGGGTCAGTGAAAAAGAGGAAGACCCTCAACAAGATG